TAGCCTCAGCCCTCACTCACCGGGAGGGCACAAAAGGGGAATTGTGTACCAGGGTGATGCATGTTCAGAGAGGACTGGGGTGAGCAAAGCAGTTGCTGGGAGCTTTGTTCCAGGCAGAGGCTTGCAACACCGATGGTTCCTGTTTTGGGACAGTTATTTAATCAAAGACAAAACCACTACAACTCCTGTTCCTCAAAATAAGTTCATAAAAAGTGCGGTTTCAATAAATGAGGCAATCCTATGCTTGTCATACTCATAACATCTTTCCAGGGTCTGTATGAACCTTCATGATTCAGAGTCAGCATGCTTTCATGAGACAAAGAGGTGCTTTACTGCTGTATTTTTCAGACCAGAGAAAGGAAAGCTCTAGGGATTTCAAAAGCCTCAGACTCGGCAGAAACTCCACAGTTTAATCTGTGAAGTGAGACAGCTGACAGATTACAAACTCAATTTTACTTCACAGGCACTAAAGCCATGAATCTAGTTCTGTCTCTCTTGAATCAGAGATGATTAATGAGTTTCAGAGCCTTAAAAAATGCAAAGGGCAGGAGTTCAGAACGTAAAGGCTTTACCTTACATAGATAAGAAACAAGACCTTGTTGAATGGTGCCATGACCCAGGTATTGTCCAGGTGTGCTAACCGAGCACCCAGGAAGGGCTTGAATAAGGGTTATCACATTGAATGGGGATATAAGAAATTGAAATATTTATCTTCCCAGCAATAGTTCACTGCTAGCATTTTAAAGAAAAGTGGGCTCCCCGAGGCATCCTAGAGAGCACTTTCACATCAAATGTTGCCTGTGTGCATGAAAGTGAGTATCCCTTGGAGCAGTGAGCCGAGCAATGTATCAAGGAATGACAAGGAATCGCTCAATGTGCAGAGAAATAACTCCCAGGAATTTTTACTGAAGCCAGCAGGGTTCTAGCTGGGACTGCAGGACAAGGCAGTCTCCATTCTGACAGATACAGTGCATATGTTGAGCAAGAAAAAGTGGCTTTAGGAGCACCAAGTCCTGGACCTGTGTGTCTCAAGAACATGAGTCTGAGGAGAACTGAGTATATGCCATGTTTATACCATCTTTTCTCTCTTCTAGCACCACTAATCTGCTATTTTGCAACTCATCTGTTCTGTTTTGCTAAGCTAGTAAAGTAAAATTTATTTACATCTTAGTCATCTTGAAATTAATTCATGTCAGTGTAGAGGCAAAAGGACATTCTCTGTATATGCTCCAAAGCTGTATATTACATTTACTAGATTAGGATGTTTGTGGTTTCAAGTTCAGAGCAAAAAAAAAGAAACAGCAAGAAATGGGGAGGGCAGCTTGAGTCCACTCATGTGGACCCTTGCACATGAGTGCAGAATGAAGAACACAGTCCTGGGATGTGGCTGAATTCACCTAGCTACTGATGAAGAGCCAAAACAACTTTGCAACTATTTGTTGCATCAAATATCTTTCAAAGAATTGAAAGAGAATTTTCTTCTTAAATCAGTTGTCTTCTTTTGTTAAGGTGTTGATTGTTCAACAGATTTCATAAGCAGCCCTGTATCCAGCAGAAACAACATCTTGTAAAGCAGTTTTTTGGCATTGCCCTCTCTCTTTCAGCTGGTCTTTTTGGGCAGTGACTTACAGAGAGGCATCTAAAGGAGAGGGAATTACTGCCCTACCACATCTCTCCAGCCCCATAGTGTACTTACTGGATGATGGTGGACACCCCTTGAACTTCAGACCGTACAGGGGTCTCCATATGCTCACTTCCAGTAAAGAGTTCCTGCTGTGTAGGCACACACAAGGGCAACCAGATCATTACATGTGCTTCTTGCTGAGGAGACAGGAGAAACAAACTGATGCAAATTAGTAAAAAAAATAAAATACGGTGACCATTTAATTTGCATCTTTTCCTACTTTGTGAAATCTCAGGCTCCTTTTCACTAACCCTCAAGTGAGTAGAAAAATAATTACAAGAGTCCAACTCTACCTTAAAACATCAACAAAAGGCAAGATTTGCACAGTATTTACATCTTAGTCTTATCTTTACTATAGGTCTACTTAAAGGCATTATTCTGTACACTACTTGCCTGTAGGGAGCATTGCAAACAATTAGAGTTTAGTTCAAAACTCCATAGTGTCAGACAGTACACAAAATTGGTGTTACCATAATAAAAAAAAAAAAAAAAAGAAAATAAAAAAGGAGTATATACCATTTATTTTTGAACAAATATCCTATACAATCATGGATTGGCTACCATTAAACAGCTAACAAAATAATATTTACTTGATAAAATGTATTCCTGACAATCTTTCAAGTCCTGCATTACATTTGGAATGGTTTCACATGTAGAAAAAGGTCCAAACCTCACCTATAATGAGCTTATTCAGTTTGCATCTTGTACAACTTTTACAGTTTATAACTGGATGAGTGTTGATGCATAAAGCTGTAATTCACCAGTGTTAATCACAATTTATATTAAAATAAATAAGCAAACGTACTGAGATGATAGAAGCTGAGCATGCGGAATTCATCGTAATTACACTTGATCAGAGGGATTCAAGTGAACAGAGTCACACTATGAAATTTCCAGAAGAAAAACAATCTGGAAGTAACACTCTCACAATTTTCTCAGAGCAATTTTATCCTGGTATTAGCGTTACTCTTATAAACCCATTGGCTGAAGTTACAAAATAAGATGCTTAAAGGAAAATGACAAAACTAATACATAAAAAAAAAAATAGTTCTTCATAATCTAAAATATAATAATCTGGATCTTCATCTTAGAGATATGTCACCAAAGTAGAAATTCTTCACACTTTAATCTTCAAACCTTAAGGACTAGGTTCGTTGTCTGTTCCCTGCCCATTCAATGAAGGTGCAGCTTAAACAAGATACAGATTTTAGAAGGATCCATCTTTCCCATCCAAGATGTCTGCTTTTATCCATCCTATGAAGATGGGTGTCTGTTTTCACTCCCCAGCAGGAGGGAAAGGATATAGAAGACCACCTTAAACCAGCCAGTGAATTTTTACGTGTCTGAAATTATGTGTGATGAACTGAGTCAGATAAATGAAGATCTCTAGGTGTCTCTTTCACAAGGGGAATTACTGACTTAAATGTATTTCTCATTTTGTCCTATTAGGGTACAATTTAGTGTCCCACAAAACCAGTAGAACTTCTCTTGCTGTGTTTACTTAGCACAAAACAATCGAACCATCCCACTGGATACCTTAGTCATGTTGTCCAGACAAGGATTTGAATTGCAATTTACATCACATATGAGCATCCAGGTAGCATTTGATCCACCCTCTTCAGCTTCCCATATGTGAAAGGAAGGCTTGCTCTGCGCACACTGACACACTAGTAAACAGCCAAATAAATTGGTCTATTTGAAGGCTGCTGGTCTCTCCACTTACAAGATGAGGTTCCATGTATCTCACTGCTGGCGTTAACGATGTCGTCACAGTTGCTGCACACCAAGCCCACTCTTGCAGGGGTCTTCACAGCAAAGTCAGGAAAAGGAACTCCAAAATCACCAAAGTGCATGGCCTGCCCCCCCCAACACAGGTGGCAACCCCTTGAGGAGGTGGTGGGTGCAGCTATTGCTGCTCCCAGGTGATGCAGGTGCACTGCAGCTCAGAGCTGGAGAGGACACAGGGTGGTGGGCAGAAGAGACGGAGCTTCATCATCCTCACTCCCACATGTATCAGGCAGTTGATATTGCCAGGAGAGGACCCAGGAGAGCACAGAGCAGTCGTAACCACACTGTGGTTTGTGGCAGCAGGACACATTTCTGGGAGGGAAAGAAAAACACACAGTGTCAAAGTTTATCTGGAGGAAATATTTGTTCTTATGACCTCAGTGGAATAAGAACCACATATGTCATGTTTGTTTGAGAGAGGCAAACACTAAACCAGCCCCTTAGCAGCTGAGCCAGGGGCAGAAATTATCCATTATTTTTTTTAACTTGAAACTGACTTTAATTTCAGTATTTTCATTGTTTGTTTTATGACCAGACATTAGAGGTGTTATTATTACCACTCCCATGGATAATGCCATGAATTAAGTAGCACCTCTCCAAGAAAAAAAAACCAATTATCTCAATCTTAAGATGATCTCTTTTCTTGAGTGGGAATGGGGATAGAACCTGTTCTTTTTCTGATGCATTCTGAGAAATGTGTAGGAAATATCACCTAATTTTCAGGGCAGAAAGGGGGAGCACTCAGTGCCTGCAGCTGATAGCCTGTTAGCTGTGTTCTTGAAAAACACCACGCTACAAGGAGAAAATGTGTAGCACTGAAGTGTGGCTCCCTTACGTCTCGAAGCATCAGGAGTAGGTGATTTTAATGGACGATTTAAAAACTTTTCCCCCACTATTATTTCACTGTAGGGAGCTGCCATCAGAAGCGACCTACTTGATGTCATGGCAGAAACACGTGTTTCAGATGCTGGCCTAAACGCAGATTGTTGGTTGCTGCTCATCTATCCGCAGTGTGATAGATTTAGAAAATCTCACTTGCTTTGCAAGTAGGTTCAGTTGGGTTCCCTTTCCTTATCCGTACAGCGGTGTGGGTGCAGCCCTCACAGATGACAGGCACATGAGTGCTGCTTACAGAGAAAGTGCAACTATCCTTAGTATCCTTAATTTATATGTGAAATGTTGTTAGTGCTGGACTGGGATATGCATTTTTTTTTGTAAGGGGCTGCCAACCACAAGTCCTCTGAATCATTGCCAGGATAAAGAGAATCAACAGATCTATTTTAAAATGCTATGCTCATTTTCTACACTTTCTAGGGGCTCTTGAGTCACATTTTCAAGCTTCACCATGCAACCATGCAGAATTGTTCTTTTCCAAATGATGGATTTGCCCAGGATGGTGGCAGTGAGGAATGAACGAGTTGGTCAGTCCTGTGCTTCTCAGAGCCAGGGCTTTACCAGGGACCAGCAACTACCATAAATTAACATTACAGGCATTGGCAATTCTACTTATGACAAAATAATCTTTCCTCAACAAACCTTGCTGTGTTATTAAAGGCACCATTTTGAACATCAAACGCTTAAACGTGAAGCAGGAAATGTTTCAGTTCGTCTGGGAGGAGAAGTCCAGTTATTTTTTGATGCTGCTTGTGTCCAAAGCACCTCCTGATGCACAAGCGGCACAATTGCATCAAGGACAGTGGCCCTGGAGAAAGAGCCGGGGAAGAGGTTACACGTGGCTTTATCACCTCATAATCGTAAAGCTGAAACAGCAGCTGTGCACCACCACTCCCCCCACCTCCTGCAACCCAGCCCATGCAGAGGCTGCGTGGCCCCTGGGAAGCTCAGCAGTGAAAAGCCAGACCTGTGCCCACCAAAGGACATCAGCCCAGCTGCAATTAAGTTCAGGCCTTGTCACTCCCTGTCATTACACAGGGAGTGCAATTATCATTAGCAGTATCAGTCTGTCCCTTTTAAGCTGCATGAGTGTGACATGGTTTGTGTTGTTTAGGATGATCAATGCTTCCTTCAAAATCCTTTCCCCCTCACTCTCCCAGTGAGATCCAAGTTTGCAGCCCACTACTTTCTTGAAATATATTTCATAATAGTGACAAACACATAGCAAAAGAAATACTACATAAGCCTTTGCTTACACCTTCCAGATTAATTGGTCTCATGCTGATAAATGCAAGCCCTGATGAAGAATCTGTAGTGCTTTTTTTATTCCTTAAGTACAATGGCATTATACGCTTACTTGGAGGTCTTGTCCTTTTCAGGAAGAGGTAGATCCTGTGCAGTGCTTTTGACTGCAGCACCTTTCAACGTTCAGCCCCCCAGCATGTCATTTGTGCCTCAGTGTGCAGCACGCAGGGGTGACAAGCATGGTGGTTGTCAGGGGGTCTATGGGAGGGCAGAGAAGAAGGGCAAAGCAGAGAGAACAGTGAGTGTGGACATAGGGGTCAGGTGCTGGGAGTGGGGAAGAGATGAGAAGAGACACTGTAGAAAGTGAGAGGGAGGTAAAGTGAGTTGGGAGGGGACAGTTTTGGTGCCACCAGCTGTGCCTGAAGGCTGGGCGGGTAGGTGTGTGGTCACCAGAGAGCTGAAATGCTAGTGCTGGTGGAGGAGTGAAGTGCAGCCAGAAGGAACGGGGGCTGCAGCAAAAGTGTGGTGAGACAGCAGCTTTAATCAGCTTTTGAGTCTTGCCTCACGCAGGCCACCAGGTTTCCAGCAGCTCTGCAAGGCTGAAGACCGCTGCAATATCTGAAGGGCTGTGCAAAGGGCTGCACCCTCCTGCTAGGAATCAGCGGATGATTTACCCTATGCCTGTGTACAAGACAACAAGGCAAGCTGATACGTGGCAATTGACACTGGCTATTGCAGTATCACACTGCATGTGTGTTTGGCTACTCTGATCTCACAGATAAATGGCCTGCCTGTAAACATCTCATTTAAAAAAGCTTCCATTAAAAAAAAAAAAAAAAAAATCCAAAACAACAACAAAAAAAGAACAACCAAAACCTCAAAATTTAAAGACTTCTCAAAACAACACGAGCAGTGTCACTATGCTGAAAAATATTTAGCAACTACAAGTATACTCTTCAAAGAAAAAAGTACATTTTTGGATTGCTAGCTAATTCTCCCACCCACAGGTAGGACTCTCCCTGAAGCACCAGCAGGGTATGCAGTGGTCCAGCAGAGGGGTGAAAACCTGGGAGGGGAGACCACCACATGTACTACACCTGCTCTGGGCTAGTCCTAGGGTGACTCTGGGTCACCACACTCACCAACTCATCTCTCGTGGAAAAACACACTCCCTCCAGCCTGCCCTGGCCATGGGTGTGGGGCGGCTGCCCCACAGCATCTTCAGAGTTGGGGGAGAGGAGCCATGTATGGGAGCAGGGCAGGAGAGCAGCAGCTCAACTGTGATATTGCTGAGGGGCCATGGGACTGGCAGGGCGACTCTGATCCCCTCAGCACATTGCCAATCTCCCCATGAAACCAGAGGGGTAATGTTTACACTGCTCCCCCAGGTTGCAACTGTTCAGCTGGCCAAAGAAATTAGACATTATCTGCCCATCAGGCATGACCCTACTCAGAAGAACATGCTGGAGAATATCAGAAAAAAACTATTCAGCAGCAAAGTGCCCTTCAGGCATTTATAAATTCTGATTTCAATTGCTGAATTTCACTTAGAAAAGTTCCTTACTGCCCAAGCTGTCAGCTCAACCCAAGCAGCGCTTCTCAGGCTGGCTCCACAGGGTGTGCCTGGAACGGTTTTCTATCTCAAATAAACAGGACACATGTGGTGCCACAGGAGTCAGGAGTCTAACGCAGCAGGGATTGTAGCTCAAAAAGATCACCACTCTGTGCACCATAGATTAGGCTGTGAAACCAAATACCCATTGCTCATACATAACAAGCATAACAGTTGTTTTCATGCTATTATTTTCATGTTACTATTTCATCAGGACCTGATTCATCACTTTATTTTTCAAGTTTTACCTTGGTGTAAATCTATTCATGACAACAATTATATCAACATGTAACTGGAATAATAAAGTCCTGATCCACATAATCAGCAACTTGTTTAAAATTATGAAAACATGACTGAGAATATCTAAAGAAGAACATCAGTACGCCAACGATTAGATATGAGAGACCTTATTCTAATTTTCTTGAAAATTGGTAAGATTTCTCTCCATAATTCATTATTTATGGCCATTAAAGTAAAATGGATCTGGAAATATTTCATTTACAGGTACAAGCTCTTCCTAAGGGTTAAGCCTGTAGTTTCATATTGATGGATTACTCAGCACATAATGATGGCCTTTCAAGAAAAACCTAGTTTATAAATATGCATCTGTGTATATATATATATATACATAATTCTTGTGCAATTTTCCTTAATCTCCACAAAAAACTAATAGAGAATCTTTTGTTTTAAAGATATTTTGGCACCTACGTAAGATCTTAAGATCTACACCCTCAGCAAGTTTGCCGATGACAGTCAAGCTGTGTGGTGCAGTTGACATGCTGGAGGGATGGGATGCCATCCAGAGAGACCTTGACAGGCTTGAGAGGGCGACCTGTGCTAACCTCATGAAGTTCAACAAGGCCAAGTGCAAGGTCCTGCACCTGGGTCGGGGCAATCCCAAACATAAATACAGGCTGGGCGTTGAATAGCTTTTGACCAGCTCTGGAGTGAAGGACTTGGGAGTGGTGGTGGATGAGAAGCTCAACATGAGCCAGCAATGTGCATTTGCAGCCCAGAAGGCCAATAACCATATCCTGGGCTGCATCAAGAGAAGTGTGTCCAGCAGGTCGAGGGAGGTGATTCTGCCCCTCTACTCTGCTCTCATAAGGCCCCACCTGGAGTACTGTGTCCAGTTCTGGAGCCCCCAACACAAGAAAGACATGGACCTGTTAGAACAAGTCCAGAGGGGGCCACAAGGACAATCTGAGGGCTGGAGCACCTCTCCTGTGAGGACAGGCTGAGAGAGTTGGGGCTGTTCAGCCTGGAAAAGAGAAGGCTCCAGGGAGATCTTATAGCCTTCCACTACCTGAAGGGGCCTCCAGGAAAGCTGGGGAGAGACTTTTTACAAGGGCAGGTAGTGATAGAACAAGGGGTAATAGCTCTAAACTGAAAGAGGGTAGGTTTAGATTAGATATGAGGAAGAAATTCTTCACTGTGAAGGTGGTCAGACACTGGAACAGGTTGCCCAGAGAAGCTGTGGATGCCCCCTCCCTGGAAGTGTTGAAGGCCAGGCTGGATGAGGCTTTGAGCAACCTGGTCTAGTGGAAGGTGTCCCTGCTCATGGCAGGGGGGTTGGAACTAGATGATCTTTAAGGTCCCTTCCAACCCAAACCATTCTATGATCTTGTCCAAACAATAAAAGTAAAGAACAAAGAATTAGAAGATCATTGTTTCAATTTTTTTTTTTTTTTTTTACAATATCACTTACATTAAAAATTTTCTCATTGCAATTTTGCACTTATGTTTAGACTGGTATATGGCACACACCTCAGGATTCTGTAAAAGCAAAGATCCCAGTCCTAATGCTCACCATGTAACCTCAACACCCAACTAAGGTAATTTTTTGCCTGCATTTGTCAGCATGTTCCAGACAACACTGCTGGGTCTAATCCTGCCTCAGACACAAGGGAACTGAGAGACTCTCACTGACTTCAGTGCTTTAGGTAATCAGAAAAAGCTACCATTAATTTCTAAGGAGCATTTTGCTTCCTTTTTTCACCTTAAACTCTATTTTGCATTATACTGCAAGCTCCGTATGATTACTCCTTGATGAAGTAGATTCACAACCTGGAGGTTGATAGATGGGTCACTGTTGTTACCATTATTGCTATTAGCATGCTACTATATTCTGATGGTAGAGGATACAGGTAGTGTCCATGTATCAGAAAATGGAAATAAGCTTAGCTATCCTCAGCATTGTAGTACTCGTAGCATGGAACAGCATAGCCTTTTTGCAGCAGGTTGTATATGTTTTCCCTAACAAATCCCGAGTGAATGAATAAAATAAGTGCTAAGGGGCACCTTCTTTCTGCAGGAATAGTTGTCCCACAGGGCTGCTGGGTGGGACCAGCTCCATTGGCCTCTTGCTTTCAGCATTCTTCACCCAAATGTCCGCTCCAAAGTCAATCAGCAGCGTCACCAGCTCTGCACTGCAATTCCTGGCAGCCGCATGCAGAGGAGAGTCCAGCCCTTTGCCACTGTTCACGTTTGCTCCTGAGCACAAAGAGGTGACAAAGAATAATGACTAGACAGTAGCCTATTTCCACTTACTGCACTAGCTACTAGTTCTGACTAATCCATAAATGCTGTAGCATCCACCCAGAGGTGGATTTCCTTGCATTTGGGCTTGATACCACAATTTTCACACGCACAACTTGCACTGGTTAGGGATCAGTGGGGTTGTCACAAAGTAAATGATCCCAGGGGAATGGTGCATTAGGACGTCCTTCATCCACAGTCCAGTCCTTGGATACCTTGAAGCAGGACAAAGTTGTAACTCTACCTATGGCCCACCTTTGCTCCCCATCCCAGTGCCCAATTCCCTTAAAATACATACAGGATTTCAACCTGCTCTGAACCGGAGTCTTAAGCCGGTGGGATTTTCAAATGACCAATCATCTGTGAAAATGGAAAAGTTCTGGAGGTCCTTGGTGGAGGAGGATATAAGCAAACACTGTGATGCATGCTTCCCCATCCATTATCCTGAGCTAATGTCCCCTAAAACACAAGAGTGAGTTGCAGAACCAATTTCAAACTATTTACAATGTTTTTACAGTACACTTTCTCATGCATAGAAGGCAGCAAACCCCAAAAGGTCAGAAAACAGAAAATAATAGCCAAACATTTAATGTTTAGGTTATAGACTGTATTTTATTTCATCAAGTAAAAATATGCTAAATAGTGCACAAGGCAATCTAGAGGGTTTTTGATTTTTTTTTTTCAAAATGGCTTTGTTGGTCCATCGTTTTTGTACTAGCTATGTGACTACTTTAGGTTATATGCCCCCTTTGGTTAGAAGAGATGCACTACTATAGATAACCAAAAAAAAAATATGGTCTTGTATGATTATCCAAATTCTTAGAGTTCTAGGTTTGTTTGGGGCAAAGAATATAGTGCTGAACATTTTTGTGTGTTGGAAATGTTTCAAACTTTTTATGAACTTGGTGGGTAATAAAACATATTTGCAGAAATACTATGTAAAAATGATTGAGTAAAAAGGGAAGAAAAGAAAAAAAGGAAATTTTTTCCTGCCCACTTCAAATAACTGCAGCATCACACACAGAGAAAGTGGAAAGGATGCTCTTTGTTCTAGGCACCACTGGCCGTAAGAAATTCAGGAACACCCACCATTTTGTTGGGAGCTGTAAAGCTGAGTTCCTAGGTCAAGATGACTCTGGTTACCCTGCTACCCCATTTAACCCAGGGCTGCCATTAAAAGCAAAACATCTCCAGGTCTCAGAGCAGGAGCTCATCTAAATCTTTGATGCAAAGAGAATCCAAAGATAGATGTTACAGGACATGAAAGTACCCCATCTTTTATTTTTCTTTTTACCTGACTCAAGCAGCTTCTTGGCACAGTTCACTTGCTGGTTCTCACAAGCTACATAAAGCGGAGTACCCAGATGCATGATGTTGTGATCTATATTTACCCCATGGGACGCGAGGAATTCGACACATTGCACATGACCTTAAAAGGGATAACAGAAGAGTCAACTCACAGAGATCAGGCATTTTTCAGTAGTCCAGATTCTCTATTGCAGTCATGTAATTTGGCAAAAATTCAATGTTTTGTCAAGAGATGGTAGTATAATACGCACTCCAGTGTTTCCAGCCTGGAAAACAGGAGCTGCAAAGACATGGTCAGCAAAACAGGCTAAAGCCCTCGCATTTTATCTGACTTATTTCAGATGTCTACCAAAGATGAGATGAATCAGGCAGTGTTCTTTTCCACTGCTTTTGAAGACAGCCAGATGACTCCCTCAGATGTCCACATTGTCATCAGCTGATTTGGACAACGCAACCCCTTTCAGGTGTCACCACATCACAGCCCAGCCCAGCTGCCCTCAGTGAACACAAGCAGTGGGGGAAACTGCACCACTCATGATGAGACCAACTGGGAAGGTTTTTCACATGACCCAAATCAAGAAAACAATCCTTATGTCTCTTTTCTACCCAACCCATTGCCACTAACAGGGAAAGGAGTGCTGATGCCCTTGGAGTTACCTCTCTTAGCAGCTTCATGGATGGGGGATGCCAAGTCACAGGGTGGGTGGAGGCTGGCTCCGTGCTGCAGCAATAAATTCAAGCAAGCCACACTGCCACTGACACAAGCACTGAACAACGGAGTGTGCCAGTCGACAGTAACTCCATTCACCTGGAGGAAAGAAAACACAATCAGGTTTTTGTTTTGTCTTCTCAGTATTTCAAAATTGATGAAAATTATCCAGTTTCTCAACAGAAAGTACGGTTCTCAGTACTTTTTATTTAATTCCTTGCAAAAACTGCCTACTGCTTCTGAAGATTACAACTTTTTATTAAAAAGATCATTAAAAAATATTTTTGAAAATTGCCCCCAAGTCTCTCCTCTTGCAAAACAATTTTTAACCACTGCCGCTCCAGGGTCTCTTGGGAGTTATCAAGTTACCAAGTTAAATGTGTGCCTATTTCTCAGTTATCTCATCTGAAACACACCTGCCTGTAACCATCTGCTGAAACAGTCCATTTTTAGCTGAAACTGTGTAGCCTTACCCTTTCTCAAAAATTTTAAACTGAAATGTAATATATGCATAAGGAGGTAGTTTTCTTATTCACTGTAATATCGAGATTAGCTTGAAAAGCAGAGGCCATAAGACACACCTGTTTCACCACTTTACTTGCATGTTGTTTCTGTTTTATTGCCAGTTGATTCTAACAGTTCTACACCTCCACTTAAGACTCTGCTTATTGACACCAATGAGATTAGTGTGTGCAGAAAATAAAATACACTCTTTACTGTTGCAAGATCATAAACCCTTTGCAAGAGGAGCTTCTCTTTATTCTTTCAGTAAATGATGAGAACATTGCACCTTCATCTAAAGAACAATAACTGTTTTTTAAATCTGTGCTTTTTTGATTACTTTATTAAGAAGTTCATTTTATACTGTATGTACCTTAAACAGAGCTAATTACAGTGGATAAATCAAGGGATATGCTGACAAGAAATAGTACATCACCTAACACTAAATTGTGATAATACAACATACTAATGCTAGAGATAACGGTCTGTCCATCATGTACTTACCTGAGCACCATGTTTTAATAGGACACTGGCACAAGCTGCATGACCCCCTAGGCAGGCTTCATGGAGAGGAGACACCTGGTCTGCTGTAACAAGATTAACATCACTCCCCTGATGAAATAATGGAAAATATTACAACCAACTACCAAACCCCTCATACAAGCAAAAAAGCTTTAAAGCTTTATGTAATCAGACCTTCCTCAACTCAGTAGGTAAGTAGAGAAAGAGGCTGTGGTGCTCTGGCTGGAGTGGATGCTGGCACAGCATACCAGAGATCATGCCTTTACACACCGCTAATCAGTGCGGAAAGCTGTAGGCAGTGGACTGTCCAATGGGACAATTCAGAACTCAGCATGATTTTATTTCTATGACACCACAAATAGCAAAATCTGAAATTAAAAAAAAAAAAAAAAAAAAAAAAAAGATGAAAAATTGCTACTAGAGTTCTTGGCAGGGTGGTGAGTGCTGCGTTTTTACATCACTGCTCAAGACTTCTGACCTCCTGCCCACTGGGTCTGCAGTTGTTTGACTGGATCAAATCCTGAAATGCTTTTGAGCTGTTTTCTGCTCTTTGCAGCAAAGCACACTCTGACGGAAATCCAGCCCCTGCACTAGAAACCATTGGCTTGATTGTACAGGATCTTTTGCTTCTAGTAATCTTGATGCTCCAGAAGGTTAAGCTGGAAGAGTCTCAAATGGAGCAGTGAGGTTCAGAAATAACTTCTCCATAGCCAAGCCCTTCTGCAGCAAGAGCAAGGGTCCCAGATACCCTCAAGCACTTCAGAAAAAGATGTGTGGGTGGCTGAATTGAAGCCTCAACCAGAGCCTTGCCTGAGTCCAGAGCTGCCCCCAACCCAGGGCACCGAATGCTGCTTGCAGGCATGGGAGCTACAAAAGGAATCCCACAGCCACCTGGAGATCCCAGCAACTGGGATCACACCATCTGCACTGGAATTAAAGTAGGAAGCAGGATATTTTGAAACAACATCAGCTTAGTGCACGGAGCTTGCGCTAGGTGAGGAACTACTTGTAGAAAAAAAAAAAAATATTCTGTTACACAAAGATTTCACTGCATTCTGGCCAACCCTGGAGTTATAGAGTAAGTTGCACAGTAAAGCACAGACTGTATTCAACAACTGAACAAACCCAGCAGAGATCGTATGAACCCAGCAGAGGGGTACCTGTTTGATGAGTTTCTTCAGAGTAAGCAGACGCCCATGGATAGAGGCATCATGCAAAGGAGACCAGTCTGAAACAAAGTCTGTATAAAGAGAAAAACAAGAAAAATTCTAACAACTCCATCAACTGTTTCATCAGTGGTTTTCACTTCACCTATGTGACCCCAGTAAACCTCATTAATTTATTACATGAGCTGCCAAGCTTCCCTTGGAGCAGCTGCCAGGAGGGAGTGAGACAAGAGAACGGCTTCTCTCTGGGTGACTTTTTAACTCATCCCGTGTTGGTGCTGAGCAGCTGTGCTCCCCTTCAGAAGATGAGAGAGGGGGGGGACTTGCAGAATATCACCTTGTTCTGACTGAGCTTGTCCCTTACTTTGAATTATTTCTAGTGCTTTTGTTTTCACAAGCTCATTACACTTTACCAATTGTTTTCTCAAGCTCATTACACTTTATCAAATTAGCCAAAGGGCTACATTTTGAAGAGGGTATGGCTGCTTGGTCATTTACCTCTGCTTAGACCTGGGCTAGAGTCAACATTACCTAATAAGAGAAGGTGTCAAAGTACAAGGAGATAAATTGTGTTACCTGTTGATTTTGCCTTTTAGTTTTCAGTGTTTGGCGTTAGCCTGTGCAATGGTGCATTTTAAGTAATAGCTGTATTCCCTGGATTGTTGAAACTGCAAAGTGAGGTACAGCACATATATACCTTACAAATATTAACAGAAAGGGATCTTCAGCACTACAGATTTTATGGCTCACAGCCAGCTGACAACAATAATCCCTCTGGGAGACATTTACCTCCTTCAGCATTCATTGCCTCAAATCCCAGTGTCTGGTCTATGTCAATGGCCCAGGTTTCCCCTGAGAATGAAGAGAAGCATTTCCAAAGGGCATTTCACCCAGCTTCTTTTGGAAATGCATTTTGCTAATCTCTGGAGATGTCCCACTCTCTTTCCACTAACTACCAAAAAAACTCCAATGACTAACTTGGATGAGTTGCTGAGGTTTTCAGGGACTACACTAGATCACATGCATGGAACGGGACGCCTAACTGTGAGAAGTCAGCCTTCAGCAACAAAACCTAATAAGCCACTATAATCCTTTAAAATCATTTTTGCAGATTAGCTGATAATGTCAGTGCTTATACAAGATCTGCAGATCTTGTCTCAGGTATGAATGAGCATGGGAGAGCTGAACCTGTCACAGCCAATGTCCTACCCCTTCTGGCTATGCCACAGTGCGCTGGAACAGGGAAATAACCAACTGATGTGTCAGCCGTCTCCCAACCTATTGAGCTACTGCTCTCACCTACAAGCATTCTCAGTAAAGGACATAAAATTTAAACGAGATAAGATCTAGTATAGTGAGACTTAGAATGGTTTTGCAATTGAAAAATTCTGCACTAAGTAAATCATGATCTGAAGATGGTGGTATCCGTTGTGTTGTTTACCACACACACAAGGTATTCACTTGCGTAACTATGTTAGGTATTGGAGTGACTTTTTGCGAGCATAGTGGCCACAAAAATGGTCTGCTATATATTTCTAGGGATTCTTGCAAGACTCTCTTATGACTATGCAATGCATTTGTCTACAGTTGTTCATATAGGTAAAAGGATATTTCTGCTAGTACAACACACCATTTTTGAGCCACTTGATGTCCATCACAATGCTTATCTGCATAGCACACTTTTGCAAATATGTACATATTGCATCTTACTGTCTCTGAACAAGGGCTCACTGATGGACTAAGCCAGTGGAAATTTTAGTGTTTCCCTTCTTGGACACCAAAAATGTGGGTCTCCCTAACAAGCAGCTAGTCAAATTGGTAGTAGTCACACACACATTACAAGAGGGAACCCAAGTGGTCCCTGTGATAGTTCTTATTTGAATAAAGTAATTAAAAATAATCTAACTGAATAATCAAGACTTCAGGTTCTCTTGTAGGAATCCTTCCCTAACAATGCCTCAACATGTTCCTGGCTCACAGGACAATCTCAGTGACATCGTGGAAATAACCTCAGTGTGGGTTTGAAGCCTAAAAGGGGGACAGCTTATGGAACAAGGCCCTTAGGAATAGGGATTTCATCAGGGACAGTTGGGCAAACAGCTGATTCATGATTTTCAGCATTTCTCCTCATTTCCTTCTCTCTGGTTATGACTGTCACCTAGTTAGGGAAGGGAAAAAGGGAGGGCTTGTATAAAACACTAGATAATTCATTGATTTATGCTATGTTTATATTTACTCAATCTAAGCTGTCACTGGGCACCCCTTGGGGCCAGAAGGAGGTTTATTTTGTGTCCACCAGAGGCTGATCATGACTAGAGACAGGATGCAGATCTGGTGGCTGGAGCTTCTGTTACCTGGTCAGTATATCTTGCTCATAGGTGCAGTTAAAATCACTATCAATCAGCTTTGAATTCTTGGAGATCAGGCTGGGAGGGACCTTCAGCTTTGGGGCTGTGCCTCCTTCAAACATGGGGTACAGTCTCCTTCCTTGGCACCTTCTCCTGCTCTTAGCATGTGTTTATCGTAGCTGTGCATTTGGATCTTTTCCTTCAGATCATAAGTTTGTTGCCAGGGAACTGGGAAGGTGTTTCGTGATCTATTGACCATGGCCTACAGACTCGGTTTTTGGTGGGCACTTTGAAACCTGCCATTTATTCCACTGCTACCTGTGACTGTGAGACACTGCCAGAGATGGTACAAACTTGGTAGGTAAATCTGCACTGCCATGTAAAGAAAGCCAGAAGGATAATTCATCATTGAGCTTTAAGCAGGTGAAGGTGTGAAGGTAAAGTCAGTCTGCACCATTTGGTCACAAAGACAGAAATGGTCTCAATCTCTTTTTATTTAGCAGTATAGAAATAGCTAACGAGATGAGACTCCATGAGTCAAGCAATCTTTTCCAGTCTTTTATTATTTTCATTATGAAAGTCAAAGGGAAAAAAATGAGAAACTGAGAAGCAGTTCATGCACAGAAAGATTCATCAACCCAAGATATGATTTGTATTTGGGAGAAGCCTCAAAACTAGAAGCCCAAAATTAGAACTCCAGTACAGCTTTTTGGGTGGTACTGAGTACATGAAATGAACAGAGGAAAGAACTCGGGAGATCTGGGTCATGTATGTTTATTAGTTTTTAAAGAAAATTTTATTCTTTGTTAGTTGCATCGTTTGAGCTCTGCCTGCCTCCTTCTATGTTCCATGAGCCTTGTTGCACAACAAACGTGTAGTTCCAGTAAGTTCACAAACATCCTTTGGCTTTAGCAAATGAACAGGCATTCCCAGAAATTGTGGTGCTGGTCTCATAAGGATAGACAAACTATGCAACAATTATTAAAGCACAGTACTATTAATTGACTAAAACCAGTTTTGCTTTAAGTGATGTGAGTCAAAAGATGCTTATCTAACCATGCTGCTGATTTTGCTGATCCTGCCTGTGTTACCACTGGTTGAGTTTCCAGGCTCTGTAAAAAGCTTTAGATTTTCCCATTTAGAAACTAATGCCATTGCTCAATCTGTATGAATTGCAAAGGAAACATCTCTACAGTAATTCTAAAAATCTAGATTGAGGAACAAGTTTTCTGAGCTGCAGCTTGATCTTTTTTTGGCTACACAAATACAGGCGGGGTTTTGTGCAAATTACCAAGTGGTTATATCAACATGTCCACATTCTGGTGACCAAGTGGGAGGTGCACGGTCATGCCATCACATCCATGTGCAGAATTTATCCATTCAGTGCTTGCTCGAGAAAAGGCAGATTTCTACTGAGACTGTAAAAAGAGCCAGACCAGACCATAGTCATCTATGGACTGGCCATTAGCTTGCAATTTTGCCAAGTTTTTTCTTTTTAATTTGTTAAAGATTGACCACATATTAAAAAGATTGACCAGATAAACTTCAAAAATAAATGTCCATGGAAAGTGAAGTGGTTTGTGACAGGTTATAATCCAGCTGGGAATTCTGTACTGAGAGGAAAAGAGGCTTTTATCATCGGTGGAAGTGGAGACCTATGGTACCTTCACACCAGCTTTGATACACTAGGAAGAAGGGCTTTAAAGGCCTGTTTGCTGACTAATTGTGTACTTCGAAATTTGCTGCTGTGAATAGCATGACTGCAAGCTGCCATCTCTCCTGCCCTAGCTTGCCTGCAGCAAACACCTCCACCCTGAAGCAATGCCGTGGAGGCAGCCTCCTTACAGGGGAAGGCAAATTTCCCCAGTTCCTCCACCCAAGGCACCACCCTCCGGCAAACCACATTTCTGTTTTCTGCCTGCTCCAGGATCGAGCTCCCATTTCTCATCTGGAAGAGGAGGGAGGGAGGCTGCAGTGGGTGTTGGGGTCTCACTCCCCACTTCTGCACAGCACAGGAGGAACCCCATCAGTAATATAAATTGTGAATATTTATACCATACACAGGCTTTTGATTCAAGCCTAAGAAAATGTCAGTGCTAACTGGCCATAGACTTTCAAAATCCTGAAATATGACCTTCAGAAAAGTCCTCAAAATTCTTTACCCACCGAAGCTGCCGGTGAAGGAGCAAGGCTGGTGTACACGGGCAGCACAGATGTGCTCACTGCACGTTGCATCACAGCAACAAGGATTTCTGATTGCCAAAACCACATAAAACTGCTCTCTCACAGAGGAATGAGACCATTTATCAAAATTTGAAGTTTACCCACATCTTAGTCCACAAGCAAGCTGAATCAGGCCTGAGTTCAGCATCTAGATATCCAGCTGGTATCTAGACACTGAGTCGGCAATGTTCACTCCCAGCCAAGGCCAACCGTACCCTGGGCTGTACAAAGTGAAGCATGGTACTCCACTCTCGTGAGGCCCCACCTGGAGTACTGCGTCCAGTTCTGGGGCCCCCAACATAAGAAGGACATGGACCTACTGGAGCGAGTTCAGAGGAGGCCACGAGGATGATCCGAGGGCTGGAGCACCTCTCCTGTGAGGACAGGCTGAGAGAGTTGGGGCTGTTCAGCCTGGAGGAGAGCAGGCTCTGAAGAGACCTTATAGTGGCCTTCTAGTACCTGAAGGGGCTACAGGAAGGCTGGGGAGGGACATTTTGCAAAGGCAGGTAGTGACAGAACAAGGGGAAATGGCTTTAAGCTGAAAGAGGGCAGGTTTAGATTAGATATCAGGAAGAAATTCTTTCCTGTGAGGGTGGCGAGACGCTCGAACGGGTTGTCCAAGGAAGTCACTGGTTTTCAGTGACACTGGGTCACCTAGATCCCAGTTCATTGCTGAAAATGCCAGCCAACCCAGAGGTTACATTAAACCTCTGGTCATATGTGATTACACTGTCAGCACTTGGGCACGTGCTGGTGGGGTCATGTATACAGAGGGAGCCTTATAGCAATAGCCACACAAACCTGCAAACCCTGACTGCTCCCCATGGATACCAGAGCATTCACAGACCCTTTCTAGGAAAGCACTCCTTTTTGTGGTGATGGCTGAAAGTATCTTTTTCCAGCCTCTGGCTACATGGAGGGTGTTGCACACTCTGGGCCTGTCCCCAAGCTGGTTTCCTTCCACTGTGGTCACACACAGTGCAGCTTGCAAAGGACTTTGAAATCGTTTTGTTGGAGGTATGCTTTTGCATACATATTTGCATACACATATGCCTACCACATTATAAATAACAGTATTACAAACAGTATTTTCATATTCTAAGGTTTTCCCCTAAAGTT